AGAAATTTTAAATGTTCTTGGTTCTTACATAAGGTTTTAAACCACTTTAAGCAGAAGTGATAACCAAAATCAGTTTGTAGGAATAAAATCTAGATGTCTTAATCTCATCTTCTTAGTGGCTTCAGGAAGGAAAGCAATCCCAAGAAAAAAGAAGTGCTCCCAGACAGTAAATTAACTGTACTATTGTACTGGAACAAGGACTAGCCATAGATAAATAGAAACCAAGCCTTGAGCATGGATAGTTGTTTCTCTCTAGAGAAGGGTTCAACTCACAAAAAGAAGAGTTTAAGAAAGCAAAGACAGACAAAGACCAGACACCTACTGAAACAAATGGAAATCAGACATTTGTTCTATTGGCAATGCAGGACAAGGTCTTTACCTGCCACAGAAGCAATGCAGCTAATCATGCTGCATGGCAGCAGTAACTGTAGTCCATGTCAATTTACTTAAACTAATATTCACCTTCAAAGTATGATGCGTCCCTTCAGTGTCACGGTTGCTGCGCAAAGGCAGCATTAGATTTCATGATGTACTTTATTCCCAGGCAATCCAATAGATTAAATCTTAAGAGGAGATTTTTTTCTTTTTAATAAACAGTATTCTCAGCAATACAACTTCTCCAATTCAGATTCATCTTATATGTTTTATTTTAATATTAACAAAGTGGAAAGCAATTAATTATATTGAACTTTTCAACATAGTCTTTATTACAGCAAAAATTTCAAGGCCAAAAACAAAAGAAAGGGTTGGCTTGAGCAACTTTGCTCTTTCCTTACTAGCAGCCCAAAAAACTTGCCCTACCATTTATCCTCCCTTTTCTGCTATTTAGCACTTCAGCTCTTCTTCCTTGAACCCAACTTCTTTATGTCGCTTTCTTGTTTTTCCAGGTTCACTATGACTGGTGGGCTGTGCAGGAAAGAGCCATGCCACCCTCCAGTTTCTTGGTGACTGGATTCACAGTGCTCGAGATGCCTGCTTCTTCCCTCTTGCTCTTCTTTCAAATCTGAGGGGAAAAGCTAATGTGATAAAACAATAAATGATCATAGCAAAAGATAAGTGACCTTACAGAACAAATTCTGGCTTTTCTGCAAGCTTCAGAGCCTCATGCATCCCTGCAGCCGATAGTTTCCGGTTGATATTCCTATATCTGCATTGCAGGAGGTTGCGGTAAGTTGTCCTCAGGTCCCGATTGAAGAAGGCATATATAAAAGGGTTAATGAGAGAGTTTGCATAACCCAACCATAGAAAGGTTCTCTCAACCCACAGTGGGATACAGCTGCATGCTGTACCGCAGATGAAGGGTCTGGCAGTCGAGAGGAGGAAAAATGGCAGCCAGCACACAGTGAAAGCCCCAACAATAATCCCAAGAGTAGTGGCAGCTTTCTGCTCTCTCTTAAAAATGGAAATGTTTTTCTTGTCATTCTTCAGGAGTCGTGAAAAATTAGTACATTCTTCAGATTCCTTGTGCAGTTTTATCACTCCATTCATAGAAATCCCTTCCATTTCTTCTGGCCTGGGAAAACTGGTGAACTTGTGTTTAGCAGCACTCCTTTTGGCAGCCTTGTAAATCTGATAATACATGAAAAGCATCACTGACATTGGGATATAAAATGCAACTGCCGTGGAGTAAATCGTGTAGCCGAAATCTTGGCTGATCAAACAGACCTTTTCATCATTCACATTTTGGGCCCAACCAAAGAGCGGGGGTATGGTGATAGAGGCAGATAAGAGCCACACACACAGGATCATTTTGGCCATGCACTTCCCATTCTGCCTTACAGGATATGTGAGCGGTCTTGTTATTCCCAGGTACCTAAAATGACAACACAGAGTTATTATGCAGTGCAGTGATTAAATGCTAAAAGTTATTTCACGTGGTCTGCCATTAAATTTAACACCTTTTGCTAAGGTTTCTATTTTAGCCTTTTCAATGCATATATTTCAAATTTGTGAGTTCATATGCATCTTTCACTTTAAGATTTATAGTGCTGGTACTCTGTATAGTGCTGGTATTCTAAAAGCTCTTTTCTAGAGGGAAATCTCTAGCCATAAGGGACTGGGATTTTAATGCATTTGTACAGTCTTCGTATAGATAATTCTTTTGTTGTTGTTACTAAGGAAATTCTGAAAGCCAAATTTATTTGGCTAATTTATGAAATAAATGATGTACAGGAGAGTGCTCCATACACAAAGGAGATATAAAGGAGTATATTTTTTGAGTGAATGCTTAAGTTAAAAGAAAGATGCATTCACCTTAACCTTCATTCACCTTATGCATTGATAAGTTATGAAGATCTCTACCTCTAAACTGATCTTACCTTCATGTTTCAGGCAGGAATTACAAACTGTAAACTTATGCCAAGAACAGATAATTTCACTACTACAGCTATTCTTTTTATCATCATTTAATTAGAAATGATATTTATTTATCATGCTGTCTTCTACTGAACAAAATAACAATCCACTGCAGTGTTGATTTGGGAAGACCTGGGGAAAAAAACATTTTACCAGAAGCTAAGTTTAGAATGGTAAATAATTTCAAACAGATAAGAAACATCTCTATAGAGTGTCAAGTTTCCATAAAAAATGTGAAGCCTGCTCACAACTACATTTCCTAAGCTGTCAGAGCTTAAGCCACATATTTTTTTCTAGTAAAACGTTTCTTACTATTGCCTTATGTAGCTGGACAGCAGTATCCTAAGCCTATTTACTCTCAACTGCATAAGATATATTTATGTTCTTTCTAATGAAAGGATTTTTCTCTTGGAATATGGAATTAGATGCTTGCTTTTTTTTCCCTTTTCTCCTTCCCTCCCCCAAACATTTATACTTTGAAATTAGGTTTCTGCTCTGCTGGAAATTACCAGTGAATTCCCATAAACTTCTCTCATTGTTCTTTTTCTTCTTCCTCCTCCCAAAAAGGAAGAATTTTTAAGAAAATCTATGCAATTAATTTCTCCTAAAATAAACGTTTCACAAGGTTTTGGTTTCAAGAGGTAGCAGTGTTTAGTTACACAGTGAAGGTTTTGGAAGGTTACAAATAAGAAACATAACAATGAGAATATAAATGTTTTTTCAGAGCACTTTTTCTCTCTACTCACCTAGCAAATCAAAATATGAGTGTATCCATAGCTCTGCAGAATGCTGCGCTGATGATTTTACTGCAATGCAGTAAATTATGGCCAGTGCTGCTGCTTTATAGAAGGACCCAGGTATGTTACAGTTTTGGAAGCAAAAGGATTCATCATTTCGTGACCTGTTTTGATGAGTAATAACAGTCACTCTTGACGTCACTATCACTTACACTACTGACATGGCAAGTTTTATACAAAGAAGAGAATTAACTTATTGTGTCCTATTCTTGACAGCATGCATGAGCAAACTCCAGCAGCCCAGTATTGTGCCAGTGAAGCTGCGCCCAATGGTGCTGTGAGCTAGGAGTATTAAAACTGGCTGCAATTAAAGCAATAGGCTTTATAAACATTGATCACGGTGTTAAAAAAGACTGTTTCTTGTTCACGTCTCCATCAGCGTTAGAACACAGCCATCACCCCAGTGCTAGTGGTCTGGGCATGCGGTACGTGCCATGGAGAGTTCTGTTTTTCACAGTCATGGCCAAAACTCCTTGCACTGCTAAGGAGGGGGACTTGTCTAAGGTGGTCCAAGATGGAGGAGAGCAGAGTTAATTGTGTGAAGTTCTAGAGTTCACCTATCTTTCACCTATCTAAGGGCTAGACCCTTGTAAGTAATGTAACTACAGCAGCTGCAGAAGCCCTTCTGGGACAGCACTGGCACATCCTTCACATTTGTCTGAGCATAGCATGAGAGAGCTGCACAGGAGTTAACTGCACCCTTTCTACAGAAAGCTTTAAGTGTCGCTTACGGTGCAGTGCTTAAAAAAAAATCATTAACAGTTGATCCACCTTCCTGAGGTATGTATTTTTCTAGCTAATATATGATTGGCCATTAAAAATAACATGATTACGAGGTGAATTTTATTATGTAGCCAAAATAGTTAAAGCAGATTTCTGTAAAAATCAGATCTGTAGGCTGCACACACTGCATGATGACTGATGTCTAAAAATTCATGAAAGCATAAGTATACTGAAAAGAATTAAAATGCATTAGTTTTGCCCTGGCACCTCTTTTTTTTTTTTTTTTTTTTTTTTTTTAAGCTATCTGAACTTCAAAAATGCTACTTGAAATTAAAATACATTAATTAAAATAAAAATACATCAGCATCCTTTCTATCTTATTCATTTTGCTAAATGTAGTATGATAGGAACAAAAAAGTCAGCAGGCATAAGTGAAGGAACTTTATCTTTTCATCTCTATATGAAATCCACTACCCTTGAAAACTTACTTGCAACTTCAAAATAATGTAAATCACTTCTGCTGTCTAATACACAAGAGAGTGTCCAAGACTTAATACATTCCTGAGCTTCAAAAGCATTGCCTAATGCATTGCAAAAATACACTTTTTAATGCTTAATTCTTAGTTACTACCTTCCAGAGATTACTACAGGTGAATCAGCTGAACTTACAGTATCATTCCATAAATATCTAACACCTTGAGGCATTACTGCTGGAAAAGGATGAAGTCAAATTCCCTAAAAAGCCCACTTCATATATCTCAGCCATCCACACAAGAAGGAAGTGTCTTGGACAACCTGTTGCTAGTATCTAGAGGATACAGTGACAGAAAGACTATGGGAACTTTTCTTGTACTACATCACTGACATCTGGAAGACAGTCCCATGCTCAGATAGCTCAGAGTAAGAGCAGACCACATAGATCCAATGAAGGGAAATAAGGGGAGAGTAAATTTCTTTTTAAATGAATGAGCACATCCCCAGTTCTGGGCTAATTTCTTTTGATTTCTTCAGTCTCTCCTCTTCCCTGTTGGAGGAGCAGAAACAGCCTCCTGTGGTGTGGGTGCTCAGCCCAGGAAGAATGGCCATCACCTGCCATCCCCTCTTTGTGATTCTGCTCAAATGTAGGTGCAGAGCTCCTCCTTGGAGAGCCGCCATCAGCTATGATGAATAACCACCGTTTGCCACTTTTACCTGCTGAATACCAACAGTGAAAGAGGTAAATGAGTAGGTCCTTTTTTCCTGAGAGCAGTCAGTTTGTGGGGTTTTTCGGGATTTTATTTTCATTATTATTATTGTTGTTGTTGTTACTGCTATTATTATTGCTATTATTATTGCTATTATTGTTTTTTCTTTCTGGATTTTTGGTGTCAGTGCATTACAACAATGTATTAGAACAGTTTTTATCCACCAGGGATTACACAGACTCTGTTGTCATTTGAACTGCAGATCTCACAGCTGTTTCTTATTAGTGTGCTCAATATCCCTAATGCTACAGCAAGTGTTAGGCTGTAACATAAACAGAGGGCAGAGAGCATGTCACAGAAGGAACAGAAAACCACAGATCCTGGCTTCCATTTCTGGCACATCGTGGTTTTTTTTGTATTCCTTCTTCCCATTCATTCTCTTCAAAGCTATTTGCTTGCTCTGATGGCTGACTTATGTTACTGCTGGCACAATGATTACCAAACCAAAAACTGAATGGCCACTGCGTGCCATTTAGTGTTGCTGTATTATGAAAATAGATAAAATGTTTGATGACATTTATTTTCTTTCAAACACATATATACAATTCTTTAACTTAAAAAACAGTGAAAAGTTTGCTTTACCTACACTACTTTGAAGTGAGTTTGCATAGGCATCTCCTCATTACAAGAAAAACTTTTCAGAGAGATCTTTTTTATAATCTGCAAATTAATCTCCATTTGTGACTGAAGTGATTAGCAATTATATAGACATAGAAGATACTAAATATTTCTCAAAGAATAGAAAGCAGTGCCAGGCATGGTAGTATTATAGGTTAACCAAGCATAACGTTTACTTTCTGCGGCTTCAACCTGAGGTTTTGGTTTCTTTTTTTCAGCAATAGAAAATCTTTTCTTTTGTTCCCACCTGAGAAAGCTAAATACATCGGTTATATTTAGGCTGCAAAATGGTGAACTGTTTGTAACTACAGCGAAATTTTGAGATGGGTCTATTCCCCCAACCTTCTGAAATCCTTAGAAGGCAAACTGAGTCTTAATAACTATGTCATCAATAAGAGAAAGAAAATAGAAATAGGATGATCCAGTTTAACTCTGTTATTTGGTTGTGAAAGGTCAGTGAAAGAGTAGAAGAAAATCTAACAGCTGAGAGCATTAAAACTGTCTTAAAGGCTCCAATGCAACCCAATAAAAGATTGAATGGACCACCACATAGAGATCACTTACGCTTTTTCTGAAGCCCACACATGCATTTCTTTTGTCTCTAGTCTCTATATGCCTCATAGGGAGATGCTATTCAATTTCAATTAGTGCACAATGGTTTCTAAGAATCTCTCTGGCTGGGTTAGTCACTGTCACCCAATCTACCAGACTGCTCCAGAATCAGCTTAGCACCTGTCACTGTCTGACCTTATTTTTATGAAGCAGATTGGATTATTATGGAGCACAACTGGAAAAGCTGTAGTGGAAATTATATAGATGCATATTACAGCTATTTCTATTGAGAATCTCTATCACTTCCTATTAGAATTAGAGTTGAGCTTAACACAAAGTTCTCTCTGCTCTTCCTATTTTTTAAGTCACAAAACTTTTGTTCTTTTTTAAAGGCACAAAAATGCTTACTTGCTTTTTGTACTCTTTTTTTCCAGTCCAGCAGCTTTCCAGCTTCAATCCATAGCTCCTTGTATTTGCTTCTTTGCCAACCCAGAGCTATGCAGCCCTAACAATTCATCTGCAATAATAACTTATTCTGAAGAATGATCCAAACTGACTGCTCTTTCTGTAGTGTCTGTGATTCTTTCATGATCTTCCATAATTCTTCCCTTTGATTCAATGTACCATTAAGAGATAGCAAGATTAGAAGCACGATGTCATTCCTGAAAGCTATCCAGCATTCAGAAATGAATCCAGAATACTGATCTATCTGGAATTATTATTTTTGTGCTTATGTTTTGATATACTAGATGGCAACTTAATTATAAGATGCTGAAACAATAATATAATGTATTATTTCTGTTACAGCTGTGTCACACCCCACAAAGAGAATTGTCTTTTTACTGTGTACGCTCTAAACAGAAGAAGCTTTGTCTCAGAGAACTGCATTTAAATAATGATGAGGAAAATATTATTCTCATCACATATTTAAGTAACTGAGATGGAAGCAAAGGGGTAAACACACAAAAACGTAAGTGGTGAGACATGAGCATTAAAGTGCATGACTAGTGTTACAATGTGAAAAGTGACCTTGCTAATTTTTGTATGTTACTGGTAGCTGTTTTGCTGCATAATCTCTTCACGATAACTGACAGAGTATTGTTCAGGAAGAGGATATATTTCAGAGGCAGGAAAATAAATACTTTTCTGCTTCCCAGAAGTGAACAAAGTTACCGATTTCATTGCATGTATGACAGCTTACAGAGTATGTATTTAAAACCTAAACATAAGTGTTGTGCAATTTCAGAGTGAGACAAAGGCTAACAAAACTAAACCCTTACTGAAGGGAAAAAAAAAAAGATGATGTTTAATTACTGTTCTCCATCTAGTATCCACCACTGGATACTAGCTCCATCACTGCATCTTTTCCATGTACATAGCAATAGCAAGTCTCAGCACAGTCACCACATTCTGCTTCCAAATCGCATTTGCTAGAAATGGATAAGGCTCTAATTTCTCCTTCTTAGTCAGTGCTGAATGTTATAACTTAAGAAAGATATTAGATGAATGCTTTTGTATCTGTAATGTTAGATGGTTACTTATTCCAATGTTATTGTTTTTATTGAAATAGCAATACTTAAATTTTGACGCTTGAAAGAATTAGAATGAAATATTTGTTATGTTTTGAGCCAAAAAACTATTTTCCATAATTCCTTCTCTTGCTCTCAATTAAATACATTTCCTATAAATAAACTCTCTTTATGAAAGGAAGACATTCGTTCCTGCTGTTGGAGTGGGCACAAGCTAAAAACTGTACTGCTGTTGTACACGGTGCATGTTCTGATATGATTTTTCTTTTTCTGAAAAATAATTGTTTATTTATGATGGAACTCAAGAAATGTATGCTTTCCTGGTAGTGGGGGAAGATTCAAATCAATCAAAACTAAACATCTGCTCATTCTAAAGGGATATAATTTGCACAGTAGATTATGTTCTCCTCTCTTATATATTTCCAGTTTTCCTGTATTTCCATGGACTTTCTTCTTTATTTACATTAGTTCATTTTCATTCTTTTGTTCTTCTCATTCCATTTTTATTTCACTTTCTTTTTCTGCCTTATTTCCATTTCTCTCTCAGCCCTGTATATTTTCTTCTTAATTTTTCCCTACTCATCTAGGACTTCTTTTCCACAGATGGGGGGATATGTCTGCCTTCATTCTAACAAATGTGTAACAGCTGTATTTCCAGAAAGAGATCTGCAGTGTCTTTTTGTTTCTTATCTTAGTTGCAATTTCTAAAACGATATTCTTCTCTTTTCTTAGGCCTCAGCAAATTTCTTACAGATGACCTTACCCTTTGCCTTTCATTTTCCCTCTGCATGGTCGTCACAGTATTTGTCACCAGCCACTACCTTGTTCTCAGCTACCTTACAAACTGCTAATGATATGCTGGATGGAAGAAAAGATCTAACCATGATGTTTATATTTCAACACTGCCTAAATGTTAGATGATGCATAAACACACACTTTCTGAACAGTATTATGTAATTACTCAAATTAAATACTTTATATTATAGACTAAATACTATTAAGGAACAAACTGTTCTCATCAAATATATTTGTTTATCATAGTATCTGTGTACTTTCCTTTCTTGTATCTTCACCAATGATGTAAATATAGGATATAAGAAGGGAAATGGATTTCAGTTCTCTGCATCCTGCAGCAGCCTCCTAGAATATAAACTAGTTTGAAAACTGAAGAGTATTGGTAAATAATTATACAATGAAGTGGTATGGTACACGGTAATGTTACACTTCTCATTTGTAATTGTTTTCAAAGCATCTCAACTCGCTTTCTGGGTTTCTTAATCTCTGGTCTCCTGCATACATGTGTGATTTGCTTATTGACTGGAGTAGGATTAATTATACAGAGAGCTCAAAGGCGCTTCGCACCCCACTACTTGATAAACAACATCTAGCCCTTCAAAAACTCTAGAAGTGGGCAAGCCACACATGGGTAGCATCCCATTTTTCTTTATACTGCTTGAGCATTTATGAAGTTGAGGGGAAAAAAAATAATAATTTCACACTTTCCTAGAAAAAACTCTATAAATATATCATTGGGCACTCTGTACACTTCTGACCTTTCAACCTCTCAGAGATCTGGAAATTCCCTTTTAGTAACATTGTTCTCAATTTTTCTCCAGTGAGAACAAGCAACCAATAGCGAAAGGAGAAGTGGGAAAAGGGATAAAGGGCTTTTCTTAATTTGCTCTTCCCTCCCAAAACTGGAAAAGTGTATAATCAGGATACATGATCAAGTACAAATTACAACACACACACACAGTATGATTTATGCTGTTTGATAAGTCATTCCTCACTCGAGGAAAAAAAAAAAAAACATCAAGAACCTACAAAATGGTTGTTTTCTACTGTATTCAATTTGTATCAGAAGATGCTATTTTGTTTAAAATTCGTATTTCTGTTTACCACAAATTTAGTGCCTTTTTATTGCTCAGAAGTATTTTAGAAGATTAGAAAAAAATGCCCTGCAACTTGCCATTGTCAACTGCAACATCTAAGCATCTAATGGTACATAGAGTCCTGGGTCTATGTGACGATTTGTTCTTCCTTGTGTATGATGAGGTATCTCATCAGTTATCATAAGATGCTTGGACCCTTTTTGTGATGATAAAGAATATATTTTAGCCCTCAGATACCACCGGAGGAGACCAGAAGTAGGGAAAAGCCTTCTCCAGGAAAAGAATTTAAAGGAAAACACACTCGCTTGTTCTGGTTCGTAACTGATGTGCCATGGCTGAAGGTAGCAGCTCTGGCACTGAGTTTGAGGAGCAGTAGCAAAGACTTTGAGCATGAATGCATATGATTCAAAAGCCACTGAGGAGGGATGAGGCTTGACTGGAAGTGTCACTGCATGGTTACATGGAACTCAAGTGGCAGAAAAGGTAGGGATGTGCTGGGCTTTACTTATGTTTGTTCTTCTCTTCCCAGACTAGAGAACCAGAAATAGCAAGTGGAAGGATGGAATGAAAGACTGGAACACTGGATGCTGGTAAGAAACTGGCAGAGAAAGGATCCATTCTTTCTTTGCTGTAATAAAGAAATTAGGGAAGAATGCTTTAGCACTCAAAGTCATCCTTATGATGGCCCTTAGTTCCTCAGGAGTAAATCTCACATTCTGATCCTTATTACCAAGCATTTCTATCTCCTGCACAATACACTTAATTGTTCTTGCCATTACATAGTCTGTCAGAAGATGGGCATTAACCACTATCTTTTACTTAATGCCTGAATAATTAGAGGATCCAAAGCTTTAGATGATCTATTTACTCATTGGTCTCAGCCACTTATATGACTGAAGGTAAGGTTCAAGCTCCTGAACTGAAAAATATGAGTTGGATGTCAGCAGGCTAACAGAAGTTGTCCAGTTGACAGGCACAAACAGTGCAGTAAAGACTGGGAATAGTTGCTAGTAGGAAAAGTTTTATTTGCTGCTTTGCCCTTGTAAAAAGAGAGGCATAGTAAATTGAAGCATCAATTGAGATGCAGTGGCTACTATGCTATACAGACACAGTTCCTCTTAGCAAAAGAACAGAGAGGAATTAAAAGAATAAGTTTTGCAGATTAGAACTGGAAAATGTACCAAATCCGTACTTTCCTCTTTAAGGTTACCATCATTTGGCTCCTCCTAACCCTCATGCCCAAGGCCATCATCAAAGCCAATGAAGATTTCAGGTTCTTGACAGAGTTAATTCTAAATCAACCATATTTTCCCCCTTCTTTACTGACTTCAGAAAAAGTTTTATTTCTCAAACTCACAATGTGTTAAAGGAACACACATCTCTTTCCCTCCCATAACCTGGCTGGCGTTGTCCTGTGGCAAAGATGAGTGCTCATGACTCCTGGCCAACCTGCTGACTTCAGCCAGGATGTAGGAGATGTGCCAGGAGACAACCACCAGACATGCCTCAGGCCTGGGGCTCTCCTGCTGTGTGCAAGCATTTACCTAGGCTGTAATGAAAATATCAGTGTTTTCACTCTCAGTTCTACAGTATAACACACAAAGACCAACACAAGCATACCTTAAGTGAGCAGTGAAACATGCTGATGCACACAGTGTCTGTGACACATTTTGGCCAATGTGTCACTATACGTCTTCTCCCACAGACATGCGGGAACATGCATGCACAAGCACACATATAAAGATGACTCCTTTGTGTATGGTAGCTAGGTGGGTCCCAAGATGTACAAGAAAAGTGAAAAGCCCAGCAAAGTGTAGGAGGGCCTCAGAGAAGGTACTGAAGGGCCTGTGGCCAGCATGTAGGACGGTGCCTAGGTGGGATGCACCTGATGCTGCCTGGAAAGTCCCTCAGAATTATTGGTGTAGGTGGGATGCCAGGTCATTAACTCGTTCTCAGGAAGAAGGGGTTTTTTGTTTTGCTTGAGGTAAGCTAGCAGGTATCTTCAGTGAAAATGTGTGGGGTCTTGGTTTCAGAGCTATGAAAGCTGTGTTTTTTAAAAAGAAAACCCTTGTTAGATTCGAATAATGTAAAAATGGCTAAGGTGATCTTCTCCAGCTTCACTGCATGAGTCACACTTGGGTTGACACTAAACGTCAGCTTAAAAGGAATTATTTTGAAAGTTATAATGGTGTTTCAAAATGAAAGCCTCCTACAACTCCAACTAGAAAATCATGACTGATCTCTTCAGTGCAATTAAATGAAGCATTTCAGAAATTTCCATAGTATAAGTAAGCGATGAATGAAATGAAAAGTCACAGTCCATTGAATTGATAATACCACTGTATTAAAACAAAGTATCTTCAGGGAATAGCTTTATTTAAATGTGCTGATATTTATGTCCCCTCTTTTCCTTCCTTGAATACAAACAATTTAAACATAATTTCCCAGACAAAGCACTTAAGGAAGAACCCCTTCTAGCATATTTCTTCCCTTTTCCTCCTCTTTCTTTCTCTTCCTGTCTCTATAGAGACAAATTCCTGTCTCTTTAGAGACAGAAAAAATGTTGGAAGGATATGATCCAAATCATCTTCTTTGCTGCTTCTGACAACGATTTTTCAAGTGCCCTAGTGAACCCCAATATGGGTGAATCTCAATCTAGAACTGATTTACTTGGACATTTTTTGCTTTGGCCATAGCAGTATTTGCCTGAAGGCAGATCTGAATTTGTAAAAAATCCCAGGAAGATATTGCTACGTTTATTTGGGTCAGGTACATAAAAATTAAGAATGTTTACCCCAAATTTAAGTTTTTGCCAAAGCTCAGAAGGAAAGAAAAACACAGTATACATGAATAGGTGCTGTTAGCATACGCAGGAAAATCTAAGGCACAAAGCATCTTTTGCAGTGTCTGTATATTGTCTGGGTTTCTCTACAGTGCCAGGTGTGGAAATGCTAGCCACATTTACCTGCTGTTCCTAGAAAGTGAGCAAAGTGAGTTTTAATTGTAGTAATTTCTTGAAAAGTGCTTTTAAAATATTGTCATTATCTTTTAGTGTAAAACAAACTTTTCGTTGATGTCACCCTTTTACAAAGCAACTCTCAATGCACTTAGGGCTGAAAAAAAGATGGAAATCCACAAACAGAATAAAAGAGGGAAATGGTAACTTTGGGACTGCAATGGAGGTACCGAAACAGCCAAAATATATAAGTAACTCAGTTTCATAAAAACATCTGAGATAAAAAAAACACTGCATCTCCTCCAGCATAAATGCATTCTGTCTGACTGAGATCAGTGATGCTCTGCTTGTGAACAGCAGCAAATAAATCTTGCTTGCAAGGCTGAAACAAGGAGTTTGTAATAAATTTCCAGATTATAAGAAACTCAGTCACCCCACGTCAAAAAGCTGGAAGAATAAGCTGCCTCTGCTTGAAGTCACATACTGACAGGTATCTATCCAGCACTGCTATGTGACGAATAAGAGCCACACTGTGTTTCATGATAACAGTTCTTTTAAAATGCCCTTTAACATTCCAGAATTTAGATATATAACTTTATGCTAAAGCAGAAATAGGTACAACTCATGATAGACCATCTCCTCTTCCAGTCTTCAATGACAGCAGAATTTTCAGATTATCAAGGACCCTCTCCTCTCTCCTCATTTTACAGATGCTACAACACATGTGGAAGCCATGAAATAAGTGGGATCAGCAGAAGGAAGCAGAAGGAACCTCTTCTCACCTCTTGGTGAGTACATCTTCCCATTGCTTGTATCAGCAGAAGGCAGGCAACTCCAAGGTTCTTTTGAGATGTGGTGGCATCAACCGTGTTTGGATAAAGACCAAAACACCCAAGATGTATTGCTGCACCTACAGTTTCCAATAATCACAGCTCTCATGTGCCAGGCTAACATCTTCAAACAGGTACTTGAACTTAGGAGCAGAACTTTGTTCTCAGTATGGGATGAATCACCACAGCTGAGCCTATAGAGATCTCAGGGAGCTCACCAAGATTTGCAGGCGTTTTGGTTACCTGATAATATGCTGTCTTCATTTCACTACCTAGGCAGCAGTGCAGTCTTAATGTCAAGTACCAGGCTTCAGAAATGTTAAGCCTCCTTTTATATTGCTTAATTTACAGGCAAACAGTCTACCATGCCATTTTAATTTGGATTACTTTTGGAAAAAAGAGAAGCTTGTGTTCTGCTAATGATCAGACTCGTTCAGCAAAAATAGCTTTTTAATATAGGACAATAGACTCTTGAGAGACTACAATTAGCATTGTTGATAAAACTGCTTGTGCTGCAAAGTGGGTCTACAAATGTATACTATTAAGGTAAAAAGGAAACTGAAGTACAAGTACACAACAGTGCAAAAATAAAGTCTTTAGAGCCAGAGCTGTATTATTTTTAGATCAAAACATCTTATTAGGCTATTAAATAAAAGCTTTGCATCTTGTCAGCAGCTGCTTTGGGCCACACATAGAAATGTTTCCAAGTAATTTGTGGCCAGACAACACATGCTGACTTTGTTCAGAGATTTCGAATTTCAAATATTTGTTAAATGTCTACTTCTACAGCAAATAAACAAAATTTAGCAACCCACATGAAGAACTGTTTATAGAAAATTATTCTGGTAAATGTGTAAATGTCTGTATATCTGAACTATTTCATGGCAACAACATATTTTCATGGTTTGTATTCATGATGACAGTTATGTTGCAAATTGCACTACAAGTTTGGATAATAGCATATACTTCTGTTATCTGTGCTCATTACTTCCACTTCTTCATTCTAATTTTTATGCCTGTTGCCAATTTCTAAATAATGGATAGTGGAGTAAATCTTTTAACGTTCTTTGCTTTGATTCACAAATCCCTACATTTCCTAGTCCTCTAACTAGTAAAAGCACATTACAGACAGACTTCTTTTTTGCATTTACATTTTGCATCTGTCTCCAGAGATGTGCAAACCGTATTTTGAAATCCAGTGACCCTACTTTCTAATGGCTCTCTAATGAAAAGGAGTCAGATTATAAATAATGCACTTAAAGAAAGCTCTGTCTCTGGGGTTCCACTTCTCTTGCAATGGTAACAGCCATATCTCTGAATGAAGGTACTTAAAACTCAGCTGATGAGAAGTAATGATTCCATTGCCAGCAAGGTTACTGATCAATGTTCTTCAGCGTGAGTAAGGACAGCAGAACTGAATATAAGGCTGTTGGGTGGAGACCTCATGATGAGCTACATCTTCTACAAAAACAAGTTCAACTGGCGAGTTTCTAACTTAGAAAAGTCAAAAGGTATTTAAATGAAAATTAGTACATTTATGTGTTACATCTGTTATCATGTGGTGAGTTGGAAGTAAGGTTTGTACGCAGCTCTCCCACAAGAACTGTCCCCTTGCAGTCAAGCCTTTGATTCCAGTTCTGCTTTTACCCAACTCAGTGAATGTCTGAGATCCAACAAATTCTTCCTTTGGTCCCTGAGAAGTTTTCCATCACCCTTAAGGCAAAGCTAACTGCTGCCTGCTCCTCTCTTCAGGCTCCCCAGCCTGACATACCCTACAGGACAAACAGCTCCCCAGCTTTTCAGGTTGGCTATCAGGGAAAACTTTTCTGATAGAGTGGTCAGGCGTTAGCACAGTCTGCCTAGGGATGTGGCAGAGACATGGTTTCTGGAGGTGTTCCAGAACAATGTAGATGTGGGACATGCTAGTGGGCATCGTGGGGATGGGTTGACAGTTGGACTAGATGACCTTAGAGATCTTTTCCAACCTTAATGATTCTGTGATTCTGTCTGAGAAAAAGTGTTAACCTTCCACATGGCTCCAATTTCACTTCCCAATGATTCGTTAAAGGAACATGAAAATTTGTGAGCAAAAATAGACAAGTAACTCTCCTTGTGGTTATCTTTTTAATTTGTACTTCTATAAGCTAAAAAACTTGATTTCAAGTTATTGACAGTACCAAAAACCACCCATTTCCTTGATATATCTCAGGAAAAAACTGTTGCCAGCTTTTTCATTGAGACACAATGTACCTCTAAGAATAGACTTCACCCTGGTTTCTCATTACTTTAAAAAAAGTTATTTTCATAATGTCCCTTCTTGCTTTTGTCTTTTACACAAATCATGATCATTTTGCTTTACATAGAGCAAATTACTGTACATGGTGGTATTTATTAACCCCCTTGGTGATCTCTTGTGCTAGCTCACAGTTTGATTGCAGAGGCCACAAAGACAGAAAGAACATATTCAGTACTGACTTAATTTCCCTGCATGTCTCAGGTCTGCATGCTACTAGAACAGCTGGCACTATTAGAATTTTCATTCCTCTCTGCACATTGCCCAGAAAACTTGTTTACTGCTAGATGTGAATCACTGCCTCATTTACATATGAGCTAATATTTATGGAACCACCCATATGTATCAGATAATCAAGATGTTCTATATAAAGCCTCCTGATGGAACAGCAAGGTAGAAAAGAAAAATCAAAGCTGCTGCATTCATTCTTTAATTTTGTTATAATGCTTCCAACAGAATAAAACCAAATTTTACTCAGATACATACAAATCTTGTAGTGAAGTCAATAAAGAGAAGAGCATGTAACTAGTGGCAAAGAGCTATAAAAATCATTGTGCCTTTAACTCTGTAACTGAAGATTTTTTCCCTTATCTTTGCAAAAGGTTCAGTTCTGTACATTCACACTCTTCATGAATGATTTCAAATTGTTGCATCATTTTCATTGTTGTTATCTATGGCCAAGAAAGGCAACTTCTGAATTTCAAGAAAGATATTTCTTCATTAACATCCTGATACTCATTTCTTAAGAGTCTTTACAATCATAGGACTCAAAGGGTAATATATATAAAATGATAAAGTGGTCTAGTTCTCTTTCTTACTCTCTGAAGAGCCATAACATACAATATTTATTATGAGAACAAATACTGCCTCCAGTTTGTGACCTAACACCAGTTTGAACTCAAGCTTCAAATTGAGCTGGCAGAACCAAAGTGTGTTATATTCAGCATTTCTACTGGCTGACTTGATGCTCAGATTCATTTAAAAGCAGGTAGCTCTCTCCTCCTTTCTCCCTAGACATATGGTTTATATTTGAAGTGTGCCCACTGCATTACCAGCAGCAACCTTCCCATGAAGTTCTGCAATGATACTACTAGGAATCAAATGTCTCAGTGTAACTGAGTCAACCTAAATGAGAGATCTTGCCAGTCTGAGTGTGTCAAGCTTGGCAAAAGTAGTACAATCCTTCTGAAGAAACTGGCTTCGCAATGCAACATGAAAAACTGAAATCTCGGCCTTCCAGCCAAAAGAAGGTATCCTCTCCTTACAAATACTAGTGACCATTTGGAAAAAAACTGTACTGAGAACTGCTTTGTGATGATCATATGTTGTAGACTTAGATATCAGACCATGCAATTCCACTCCTTGGTCTTAGTTGTTTGAGGAGTTTGTAGCAGAAAGAGACATATGTCCACTATCAAAACTGCTGATTAAGTCAGATGTTCTGTTTAAAAAGTTGGCACAAATGTTTCTGATAAAGTGTTTCAAACTTAAGAGCAATATTAAAAATAATATTGGCTTTCTTTTCAAGAAACAAGATACTTCCCTTATGCAATTAACAAGGATTTCTACAAAAAGAAATATTTTTTTCTGAGAAAATTATTCCAGAAAATTCAAAGACAGTCTTTGGTTAATTTCTGCTCCTTTAGAAAACTATTAAAACACATTACCAGCAGTATGAGTAGTCTTGCTTTAAGTGCTGTATAATGACCACAAATACCTCCTTGTTCAGTTCAAGAAAATATACTCTGAGCAAATAAAATTTGGTATCAGTGTACATAGGCTACACTACATTGTACACCTGTCTGATAGTCTGATATGTATTTGCATTCTTGTTATTTATGTTACAAGATATTTCTGAAAGTCCCCTTCAAAAACAGAGAAGTGTTTCCAGCACTGTATCATTCCTGCGAATTTTTAAGTGAATCCAATCTCACTTATGGAAACTCTTTTTGTGTTCTCGACAGGAAGAAATACACTATTCAAATGTCTCCACAATGCCCTGTTTGGCAAAAATGTGAATTAACATTACCTTACCTCGGGATATAGGGCTCCTTTGAAATATCTGGATGATACCCCAAGAATGAAGAGACCCAAAAATAACTTCGGAAAGCTCATACAGTGTTAAGCTTTGGTAGGAGCAAACAGAAGATAGTTTGGAATGTGGGGGAAAAATGCAACAAGCCAGTTTCAAGAAAAGGCATTCAGTAAATGTGGTGTAATTTGAAATCTCCTGCTACTTACTGAACTATTATTCTCTGTTAATATACATGTTGGATCATGATCAACTGCAGTTATCTTTACCTGTCACCTGCAGGTTATCCTCCATCTACACACTTCATGGTTCCCTTTTTAAATGCACACATAACAGCAAAAGAATGTCTTCCAGCTTCCCCCTGTTTTTCATCCTCTCCAACACAGTCATAAGATTCCTGCCAAACTTCAGATCTTATATTTCTTCCCACTCTAGAATGACACAACTTCCACATGCTTTGGTGTAAAAGGCCTGTTTGTTAGAACACCTTTTATTTACTACCTCCTATTCTTTACTGTGCATGACAAGGTTAGTTATGAAGCCTAATATCTGTGCAAAGACGTAATAGAACAATCCCTATGGACAAGAACAAGTTACAGCGTGAGTAACTCTTCTTCAAGTTGACTAAATTAGAAAATCTACATGGAAAGGAATAAAAAACATCTGCTTTGCTTTTTTCTTTTGATTTTCAATTTTGTGTATCGATATTGCCTGTACCTTTTGTGACGTAAGTTATTTACAGACTCAGAAAGAACACCATTTCTTGTTGGGTTGAGCAATGGAAAGAATGCCTCTGCCATTTAGGAATTTGCTGCCATATTAATAACTTTTTTCTGCAATAGACTTTAATTGTAGTGACTCCATCACATACTTTTCCTGTAATTCCTTCTGGTTTTGTTGGTTTTTTTTGTTTTGTTTTTGTTTTGTTTTTCTCTCTTGAGTTATTTTTAGATGAATCAAAGCTTTCTACTTTTCTGAAGCCTTCAGTAACTTCAGGACCTCCACTCCTTGCAGGATTTGACAGCTTATGCCTTGCAAAGACACAAAGGAACACACTTTGCTATTAAAGAAGTGAAAGTTAGAAGACTCACTGCCCACAGCCTGTTTGGTTTCTTCTATCCATCCATTACCAAGGTTCCCTAAATGAAGAGCACAGGGTCTCAGAGGAGACCCTACTCAAGCCAAATCCCTAGCAAGCAGCACAGATCTGGCTGGTGTTAGTCCATAGGACTGCAAGGACAAGAACTGCCTAAAGCAATGATAAAGATTTCTGCTGTGTACCTTGTTCCATTCTGTATACTGAACAAAATGCCTTGGAGCTGGGAACATTGCATGTCAGTGCTTATGTATACTCTACATCCTAAAAAAATTACATACAGGACTTTTTGGTATCTGGCTGTGCATACCTGTCTACACATATATTCTGAAGAGCAGGGTTAACAGAACAGCCTGCAGCATTTTCACCCATGGCCTAGAGGCAAAAGAGTTCTGTTCTGAACAGAAGCCACACAGACCTTCTAGGTGTCATAAAGCTTAGGATATTGCTGACAACATTTTCAGGTCAGGTAATCGGTTTTGGATGTAAGTGGAGAGTAGACACCTGGATGCTACTTAAAGTGCTGAAGACTTTATTTACAAGTTATGCACAAGCTATTCCTGTGAGCACTCCTTAGTTCCCAGCCACGCTTCCAGGAACATGAAATGGGTGAGAACTTAGGGGCATCCATATGCTAAGGTAAAGCATAATTATTCATAGTTACATGGAACATCGTAAAAGATATCATACAGAGAGAGGAAAGAGGCGCATTTCTTGTATATAAAAATCTCAGGAACAACAAAAAGCCACATTACTCTACTGTTTGCATGAGAATTGAAAATCCTCATCAATTTCAAGGAAGTCTGGAATAGTCATACATTGTTGGCTAGGATACAAACTGGTAAAGCTCCCCCAAAAGTGTTTCATTATTTATGTGGGTGTGGAGCAAGTGTTATAATTCTTCAACTATAGTTATGTTGCTTTATTACTTTCTAAGGCAAAAAGTTATTTTTAAATTGCATTAAAAATTGCTACTGATGCAATTATTCAGTGGATACTCTCCAAAACAGGATTTTGTAGTTATCTTGGGTCAGAATAACATGATGAATCAGCAGGCAAACAACACCTGATTAAATTCAATTAATTCCTTTTTGATGTTCATTCATCCACTAAGACAGGCTTTGCATTTTCCCTTGTGATTCCCTGCTGATGTTCAAGCTCTCTTAAATGTAAAGAAATCTAAATGCAATATAATTTAATTCAGAGCCAGAAAAGTTGAGCTTTAAAAGGAAACAAACAAACAAACAACAACAAAAGCCCACTAAGAAATGCTTTAAATAGTTTACTATTCGGTGAGGCACAAATATTTCACCAGTCTCAGTAACTCCTACCTTTCTCCAGAGCTACCACTCATATCATGGATAGAGTATAGCAGAGGTGATAGTGATGGTGGAGGTATCAAGCTGCCTTATTTGTTTAATCCTTACGAAATTTGGAAAGGTGGAAACACACTTGCATATGTCATGTCTGGTCTTATTTCTGCCTGTAAGCAGATAGCTTCCTTCCCAAAGTGACTTAAATGAGGCAGATATTCCTGAAAAATATGTTAATGTCAGGTCACCATAATAAAGATCTGTGAAGGTTTTTGTGTTGTGAAATAAAAGGGAGATAAAAAACCCTAATAGTCAATAACTTGATATTGTTGTGGACTTTCTCTCATGATCACCCCACAGTTCAGTTCTATGTAGATAACTATATGACCTGTTCAGACTGGCCTCTCCTTGTAAATGCTGTACGAAGTCAGAGATCTACGTATTAGCATGATTGCAGTCTTAACATTTATACAGCTTAGAGCAGAAGCAACCTAAAAAAGCACAAGCAGCTCTATTCAGACAAAAGATAGGTTGTGTTTGAATCTCAAACCCTTGCCCTCAATAACATTCTTCTCAAATATGTATCCTATTCGGGAACCTGTGTTTAAACATAGAGAAGGTGAAAAACTTGACATGGTGCCTAAACCTGGAACTATGCTGCTGCTGTAAAAGGGAAGCCTTGCATTTGCCGTCCTGCCGGCCTCTGTCAACCAGTTGCTTATAAACACAAGTGATGCATTTTGCTGACACTCTGCTACATGTATAAATAAATAAATAAAAGCAGGAGGAAAAGGAAAGAACAGTAAAAGGCATTCTTCAAGACCTTTCTGTATAATTTCAGGCAGTGGAACACTCCTTTGGAACAGGCCACGTGGGACGTGTCTGACCAGGCAACAGAATCAAACCTGTCCACTTGTAGTCTCCATGTTAATCTGTATTTTCCTACAAATTCAGGTAAAAATGTGTCTGTCCCCAAGGGCTGTGCAGTACAATCTCTGCGCGTGCAGTAGGCCTGCCAGCTGCTGGCATTCAGTGACATGAGCCAACAGCTTATACCTCTGCAAGTAAAACAAATCAAAAAGCCCCTGGAATTTACTTATTTTATCCTCTTTGGATGGGCTTCAAACTTCTTTCTTACCAGCTACATTTGTTTGTCCAACAAACCATACTACCTCTCCACAAAAACTTTGCCTAACGGTTTGTAATCAAGCTTTTGTTTAGATTAATTCAGTAGTAACATTTTTTCAGCTGTTTGCATTTGAGTGATATCTGCTTTGGGAATAACCTAGGTTTAATAATGAAAACTTGAAAACATTCAACTTGCCTGCTGACTCTGCACTACCTAATACAGCTGTATCCTTCCTTTCAGGAGAGATGCTACCAGATGACAAAGGCTTCCCAAACTATCCCATGAGCCTAGTTATTTGGAAAAAAAAGTTCAGTTTTAACAGATTTTGTCCCTTCTCTCTAAGCAGGAGACAATAGTACTACTAAATTGTGCTACTAGGTTTAAGTGTATCTAACAGCACACAGGACAGTGGCCATGTTGAAACCATGGTGAATTTTATTCACTTGTCCCCTGCTTCTGAATTTCCTGGTTCATTTCATATTTTTATTCTTTGCAGTGGGATTATAAGGGCTTTATCACCAGAGATCTTCTTCTCCTAGGTAACATAAAACATGCAACTGTTTCCATCATACCTGTGGAAAGTGGCCTTTGATGCACCTCATGCATTGTGGTTTGCTAGCTCCTGTGCCACTACTTTATCTAGTAGTACTCTGTTTTTCAGAGGTATGTCTCCTGATTTGTTAAAACTTTCCTAACTACACAAATGTGTGAATAGCAGGTAAGCTGGAACCACTAACTTACAGTGGTGACACTTTATCATTCACATTTATTTTTCATCAGCACTCCGTGGTTTGCATATTTTCCACATATTCCCCATTCAAAGACTACTTAACCTCTCAAGTTCATCTTTGGTCTGTCTGAGCACTCTCACAGCAGTTTAAGATTATTTATTTTTAAATAGGATTGCAAATCATGGAATTTTAAAATTCTTTATTGCCAAATGGTGAAGACATTTTGCTAATGAATTGCTGGCTTGTCTCCTTCTCTTTACAACATTACCTATATTAACTATCCAATGGATGTGAGTTGCAGAGGTTAGAGCATTCTGATGAACTGATAGAATTTTGATTTCAAGTAGGAAGTAGAAAAAGGTATAATGAATTATGAAGATATCATGTTAAACAAACATTCAGAAATACAGGCAGGAACAGACAAGAGGAGAATGATTCTAGTTTAAACCAGTAAATAAAAACCAGTCATTTATAATAGGCTATGTTCTGTTCAAAATACACAGCTCTATCTCTTGTAAGTTTTTATTTGAGAGGGGGAATATAAAGGAAAGGAAAAAGTGAGAGACCTTCTCATCCCCATGATTAGCTCAGCAGAAGCCTTTGCTTAGCACACAGCAGTCAGCTCAAATGTTAAGCGAAGCAATGACAAGGAAGAAAAATGACTTACTCCATTGCTACTAAGTGAATCAGCCACACATCTTTATTTGGCTAAGAGAGATTAATGATGTTAACCTGTCTTAAGAAGGTTATTAGAAATAGAGATGGAGAGCTCAGTCACGAACATCAAGAACGATCAATGGATGAAAATATTTTATGCTGCAAGCATGGGAAAATGAAATGACCTATCTCAAAAATGACAAGGTGAGAAAAATAGAACAACACTGGGAAGGAAGATAAGTCTACTTGTATTTTCTTACAATACTGGAATTAAGTTAAAAGCAAAAATAACAATAACAAAATCCTTTGATGCTGTCAAAGTCTGTCTGTAGATTTCATTGCTACAAGATGTTTTGCAGCGTTCACATAACTGCTAGCCACGCAGAATTCACAAAGTAGAGAACATCAGAGCAGGGGATGCTTACAAAGTAATTAAGTCTTGAAATGAATAGAAACTGACCTGAAATGAATGAAACAACCTCCAGTTATTGTTGGACTCTTCTGAAAGACTGTTTCTCTGCATAAACTCAGTGCAGTCCTTCCCAAAAACTTTCTGAAGTAGACAAGAGTCAAGGCAACTGATATTGGACTCTGATAAACTCCTACAATTCCTACAGTTAGGAAGTTCTTTGTTTTCTGCTAGCTGTGCTGAGTTGTAAGGAAAACAGTTTCACTCTAGATGCTAAAATGCCTGGCATATAATTTAGGCTGTGCAAAAGGGAAGTTACAGGCTGTATCTGATTTCAGATTGGACCTCAGGAATTAAAGGAATATGTTAGCCTTCCTCTGCAGAGGAGAGCTTAGACATGGGCATATGTGAGATCTCAGGGATGGCCTTAACATCAGAAATACCTAGGTTCCTCCTGTAGCCTATCTACACCTTCTTATTGCCCAAATGCTTGCCTGGACTAGTTTTTGGAAGAAGCTGGCTGTCCACGAGGATATCCTGTTTGTTGTTTTAAGGGGAACTGAAGATATATATAGAGAGAGGCAAATACTTCAAAGCAATTTTTCCTTTAGTCATAAGATTACTTGTCCAAAGTGGTTCTGCTACTTGAAACTCAGCTATTCCCAGGCTGTACCAGAATAATGGTAAAAACCCAATGAGCTGTAATTCCTGAGCAAGCTCTGACCTGGTGAAACTCCACCAAACTCCAGTGACTCACAGAGACATCAACCTCAGAAACAGCTCAGCTTCAGCCTTGCTATAATGCACCTGAAGACACACGTTGCACATGTTAAAGCAGCAACAAATGCTCGCTTGCTTTATTTGTAGGCAGCCACAGAAACCACACACAGCTGTAAAGCTGTGACCTCCCAGGCTCTGTGGGAAGAGCAGCATGGCTAACTGGGGCTAACGGGGCACCCAGCTCCTTCAAACAAGAGACTGCAGGGCTCGCACTGCACTTTGGGCTCATCAAGAGCCTCTTCTTTCCTCGGGAAAAAGTGGGGAGCAGAGGGTCCCCAGCATGGCTGAAGCAGGGGTTGCTCACCTGTCGATGCTGATCACACAGAGGGTCATGATGGAGGCTGTGCAGCACATGACATCCATGGCAATGAAGACATTGCAGAAAAGGCGCCCGAAGATCCACTCGCCACCGATGAGATCAGTCACGCTGACGAAGGGCATGACGGCCAGAGCCACTGAGAGGTCGGCCAGGGCCAGCGAGACGATGAGATAGTTGGAGGGCTGCCGCAGCTTCTTCACGAAGCAGACGGAGATGACCACCAGACAGTTGCCGGCGACAGTCAGCAGCGTGATGAGGCTGAGCACGGCCCCGATGACAACTTTCTCCACGTTGCCGTAGCTGAGGATCTGCTCCCCGCATTGCGAGTCGTTCCCGGGCGCGGGGCTGGCGGCGGGCAGCGGCGGGGGAGTGCCGCCAGGGCCGAGCTTGGCCAGGCTGCGCGGGGGCCACGAGCCGGCGATCATCCTCCCGCCGCCCAGCGTCCGCGGTTCCTCCAGCGCGAAGGGCCGGAGGTTACCGTAGAGGTGGCTGCCGTTGAGGGCGATGACCATGGCGGTGCGAGCTGCCCATCGAGCCCCACCGCCCGGCTCACCGCGCTGCCCGGGATGCTCCGGCTCCTCCTCGGCCGCCCGGCGCCGCCCGCCCCCTCGCAGCCGCCGGAGCGGCCCTCAACTTCCCCCGGAGCGGCCGCGCTCTCCCGCGACGCATCTCGGGCGGCTGCGGGGCGGGCACCGCGCCATCCCTTGCGCGCCTCCGGCCCGGCCCGAGCGGCGGCGGCGGCGGCGTGCTCCGACGGCGGCGGGGAGCGTGGCGCGGGGAACCGGGAGCGGGCCGGCCACCGCTCCGCCCCCGCTCCCTCCTCCCGCGGGCGGCGGGACGGCCGCGGTGTGCGGCGGCATGGGAGCGGGCAGCGCTGCTCCGGCCGGGACGGCTCGCGGAGAGTGCGGCGGATGCAGCACCGGGAGGGCGCGGGAGTGCCGAGCGCTGCGGGACGGTGCGAGCTGTGAGGGCTCCGCCGCTGCGGGGAAAGGGGACCGCGGCGCTTCGTGGTGCTCTCCCAAGTGCGCGTGTCTGCGGGCTTAGGGATCTTCAGGATTTAGATTTCTCCCTTATTATTCTATCAATGTGAATTCCAGTACCTGCGTTTCCTTTTTTATTACTTATATTACATTGTTTTCAACTCATTCACTACCCCACGTGTAATCCTTTCAGTAAAGTTAAAAAACAAAAGCAAAAAAAAAAAAAAAAAAACGAAGCAAAAACCAACACCAACCAAACCATTTCTTTGAACTACTGTTGGTACTGCAGAGATCCCAGAACCGGGACTCCTGATCCCATTCCGGATACTTCAGAGCTTTCTCAGTTTTGGAGGTCTCTTCCCCACCTCCAAGCACAGCAAGGACTGAGTCTTCAGGGGGATGACCACAGAGAATCATGCTTGTCGGGATGCTGTCATGCTAGACCATAAGTAGCAAAAGCATGAAACACACTTGCTTCTTATGTATTTCTAATGCAAGAGAGGAGCTAGACAACAGAAGAAACAGGAGCCCTCAGATGGATCATAACCATTGACCAATGTCACTGTTATATGAGAGGAGTAATTGGAGGTAATGGCACAGCAGCACTATTTTTAGTACACACAACAGGGAGAGAAGAACCATTTGTGTGGCCCAGCAGTAAGAATGAGCTGACATCATGCAGCCATAAAATCCTGCTTTGAAGAAAGACCTGGTAACTACTCAGCTATCTGATAAAACTCATCTGTCACTCCTAGCACCAATCCACAGCAAACATATCATTCTCAGTTTTAATGAAATCTTCCATTCTGTCAGCATCGCCTTACCCCCAGAACAGGCCTTTTAACACATGTGGCAGTGTGTTGGCCCCACTCCTGTGAGCAGGACCAAGGGCTGGGGTCAGGTGAGGGGAGAAGCTGCCCTGGCACGATGTGAGTGCAGGCAGCTCCCCAGGGTCACAGTATCTCAAACAGTGAGCAGCACTGGGCAGCTCAGGTGCTGGCTTTCCCTGCTGCCTCCACATCTTGATTTGAGTAGGATCATAAAATAAGCAATTTCAAGTTGTGAGATCAGCTCTTTGACCATTACAGAGCTAGAAGTGTTCTCCTGTTCAGACTTTTCCAGCACTTCAGTGTTAGCTGCCTTACTGTGTCCACTCGCAATAAAATCCTTCCCTGTTTAACTGCCCACAGCATATTCCAGAACTTAGAGCTGCAGATGACTTACCTTCCAGGTGATAGAGCCCCTGTCCTTCCTCCCCTGCTAAGCAAATAGTAAGAGGAAAATGAATCTTTGGTATGGCAAGGACACATCAAAATAAGTTAAAGCATTAAGGCAACATGTGGAGAAAGGAGATTATTTCCTCATTGTGTGAATACATTTTTCTAAAATAGTATCTGAGATCGGAACTGGAAAAATTTTGTTTAAAATAGATTCATATCATAAGAACTGATAACATCGTGTAGTTTAATACTTGCTGTAAGGCAATTTTTCAGTTACTTAAAACATCACTTTACAGAGCAAATTATAATCTGGGGCTTCCTGCAAATGTGTTGACACAGTTCATTAAACACTCATTCCTTTTGACAGCCCTTCATGGATTCCTTCTGGAACATGACTCTAGAAAGTGTACTCAGTGGAATATATGCACAATCATTTGCGTGTTATATGTACCCATCTCAACCTAAAAGGGGGTAAAAGTCTCATCTTTTTTCTGTATCAAGTCCCCATACAATTAATTAGAAGTTAATTACTTGATTTCTTTCCTTCTCAAAGATTACATGCAGCCATTCTTTGTGTTTACTCTCTTAATCTTATGTTTTAAAAGATGAGCCAATTGAAGTCAAAGAGATTTATATCCTATAACAGAAAGGGAGGTTATGTACTATCACAGAAAAAGGCAAAACACTGGCAAGATTAAGCTGCTGGTGCCTCTCTAAAATCTTTTCCTTGAAATCTTTTCACTGGGGCACACTTAGAAAAACCTTCCAGTTTCCAGGACTGACTCTGGTGAGCTGCTCTCCCTGTGTGCTTCAGAGGTTTTCCCATCTCCAGTGCCTCTGACAGCAGAGAGCATTCCTCATTCCATGGGACTACATCTGTTCTATGAATTTAAAATCAAACACATACAGCATTAGAAGTTGATCCTTCCAAGTCAACATTCTGCTTTTGTCTTCAGTGATCCTAAATGAAAATTCTAATTGTTGTTCCAAACAGCATACAGAAATTAAACCTATGGTTGGCTGACTGGCTGTCTTGAACAAGCTGACATTTGTGAAACCTCTCTCCCTTTTCAGGATACTAGCTCTTCACCTAACATTAGGCTTCAATAAATAGCATCAAATCCATTTGTCACAGCTTAGCTAACTGTCCTTTGAGTACTTTAGGCTGCTTACCTATAAAATCTTCTTCATATTTCTGTGTACCCCTGACTCTGTTGTAGGGCTCTCGTCCACCATTTTTCATGCACTTATTGACATTTTTATTGATTTTTCTTTGAAGTTTTTCTTTGATTTTTTACAGCTTTTTAAAAGCTTTTTTTAAAATTTCTTTTCCCTCAAAAAATAATTATATTTTTTCTCCACCAGAGGAGGGAAATATATTAAAAAGCCACAGAACATCTTCAGAATTTAAGACTCATACAGAGCATAAACAATACAACAGTAGGTATTTATATCAATTATTTGCTTCCGTGTTGTTAAGGTAAGGTAAGATAGACATGTTTGGAGGAAATAAAGGAAATAAAATGTCACCAGCACATGTTGATTTGGTGAGCCCAGTCTGTTTCTATGAAGGTGCCTGTGACGAAAGAACTCACGCTACATTCTGGATGCTTCACCCCTCTGCTGAGGGTGTGCTGCTCACAGAGTCCATTGGAACAGCAGGTCTTGCTAGTTCATGGCCCGCTGCTTGAAGTGGGTCCAGGACTGCAGCATGCAGAACTTCAGGAGCAGCCCAGCTTAGTAACTATTTCCCCCCACAGCTGTATCTGGAAAACAAGATCTGTGCTCATCTTAACATAAAATCTTAAAGGTGTTGCTACATTTTCCTTCTTAAGCAATTTAATTCTGGATCCTTTTCATCCCACAACATGAGTATGAAATGTAATAAAGAGGGTTTTTCTTCTTGCTATTTTCCCTTCTTTTTTATCATCTCCCTTGTTGTCCTTCCTTGCCTGATCCAGTCTGTCTTCATAAACTGTCATTTTCATTTGCCTGTTATATATTTTTTTCTTTCCTTTTCATCTCCTATTCCTGGAAACCAAAATAAGTCTGGTGAAGACCTGCTGCTGGGAATAATAAATAAAGTATAGGTACACATTTCTTCTACCTTGGGGAAATACATTGTCAAAATATTTAGAATATTTTATCAGGCTGGTTAAAATTCCATGGACAAATATTATTGGAACCTTGATTTTTATTCCCAGCATGTAGTTAACAAATAACACTCCTGTCCAACTTCTAGCAAAGATGTTGCAGCTGCAGTTTCTTTTCTGTCTTTTCTTGCTTTTGTGAAAATAAATCATCCCCACTCTGTGGCAGTGAAATAGAGAGGTAACCATTCACATATCTGGCATTTCTTATCATTGTCAAAATAAATACTTGCACCTGTGCAAGCAAAATAAATGTGAAGTGATGTCTTCCTTTTTTGGAACCAGCAAATATGAGCAGCAAGCTGTCAGCTGAAAAGAAAAAAAACAATTAGAATGAAATTTATTCTAGAAATTCTTGATCACTCTGAAAAACAGTTCTCATCCCTGAAACTTCAGCCTGCAACTTTATGAAGGAAACTGTGAAGGTTATGATTAAAGTGACCCTGAGATTCAAGCTATTGAGTTGCTGAGATAGGTGGTGCCAAATATCTTTAGCTACCTAAAATGCTAAATGCAGAACTAAAGCCAAAGAAACACATATACATACATATATATATATGACAGCTGCTACCCTGGGCTGCCCACTGGAGGCACACTAGAAGAATATCACTTCATAAGACTTGAAAAGGTCTTCCTTACAATTTAAATATGGTGTGAAAAACATAGCCAAGGGGGAGAAAAATTGGCTGCATTTAGGAGGACTTCAGGACAGGTGAAACAAAGCATGTTTGAAGTTTGTGACTGACAGTGAGGACCACAGCTATGTTTTAAGTAGATCGCTGGGGCTGGTCTAAACAAAAATGTTAACATCCAAGTAGCTGATGGAGGAAATAAGGTTGCACACTGATGTACATAAGTAATTGATGATATGCGGTGCTGGAAGGGCCATCACAGAGATAGAGTTCTGAATTGATGTTTAAGTGCTCTCCATTTTAAGTGCTTCGAGGAATGGTTTGTTTTGCTTGTCTGTTGCCAGACACAAATGCTGCTTAATCTTGTTTAATGTCTCTGAACATTAGTCC